ATTACAAGATATATCAAGGAAGTACACGAGGAGTTACACAGACAAGACATAGAACTAGACTTCTTAGACAAAGGTTATTAATCAAAATCGAAGACTTAGGATAACCATTATTTAAACCATTGATCATCAAAAGGCTCACAGCTTTCTTCCATCAGAGCATTGTTAGGACCTGCACGAATCCAATGAATAGTACTCACAATCTCCGCATTGTGGAGCACTTCTGAGAATACTCTTCTATAGGGAATGAAGGACTTGTTCAGATCTTTGGATATGGTTATGGACTCTTTAAGGTAGTTGAAGATGTCTTGAGGCAAGTTAATCAGAGTACAATTAAGTAGGCATAGAATAAAGGTTTTATCACCATGATACAAGAAATTCTTGTTGATACCTCGAGGATGAAGGTTTGATAGAATAAATTGAAACCAATCTTTAGCAATAGGCGGGAGTTTCTCAGGGTTTGTGGGTTCAAAACCAGAAGAGACATCAAAGATAGAGATCGTTTGGAATCAGAGGTGCACCTGAGATAAGCTTGACTTGTAGTAATACCTATTCAAGCACAACCAATAGCCTCATCAATATAATCAGTAGTGAAGGAAACAGAAAAGTCAAATATATTTGACTTAATTATATAGCCATCAGTGCTTACAGAGGCATGTCTCTAAAATTACTTTACAAGGTTTGGATAGATGGGTCCTCGTAGCATAGTAAGATAGCCATTCCAATTCTGAAAGTGTATGCCAAGATGGAAGTTGTGACCAACACCTAGAAGTTTTGGACGTTTTTAATTTATGACTTCCAAAAGATTGTCATCACCATGAAAGGTTTTTTAGGACATGATAAGATAGGTTAAGAAAAATATTTAGATGGGCTATTATCTAAAAGATGAGGAGAATATGAAACCACTAGGGTATAAATAGGAAAAGATAAAACGTAAATCACAAGAGAATTTATTTCCTTACGCAAGCAATCAAACTCGAAATACAAAAAAGAGTTAATGTTTGAACAAGAACTGAAAAAGAATAGAGAATACAATCCTTCCCAATATGCATGTAAGAGATAGGAATACAAGATGACAAACTAGGCTAGGAATAGAGGGGCATGCTTTAAGATTCCCATTATTAATAAAATAATATCTTGACCTTTCCTAAAATGAGCAAAAGACAGGAGATAAGCATTGATATTTTAACCTATTTTCCCATATATTACATTGCTTTGACACTGATACTCTTATTATTTTAGAATATATATTCTTCTTGATTTAAGAAGTTTCTAATCAAGATATATTCAAACTTGTAGAAGTATCTAGAAGTACTTCATCAGAAAACACGTAAATTCTAACCTGGTGTATCTTGTCTATGAGCAGCTCACCTTTCTCATTTATCAAGTTTTGAACAATTTTTATTTAGAAACACATTTTCATTTTTAAAAATAAGATGATCATATTTCTGTTCAAGACTTTCTTTCTCTAGCTTACCGTATTCTTCAATTTTATATTCATGAATCTTCTGAAGATTCTTGAATTTTCGTTGAAGCTTCTGATGCTTGTTCAGAGTTTCTGATAAACACAATTCTACTTCAGCGTGAGAGAGTTCAGGAAATACCTCTTCAGAGTTGGACTCTCTTTATAACGTGTCTTCTTTTGAACTGATACCCATGAGTGCTACGTTTGCACATTCTTCTTCTGATTTTGATCCTTCAGAGTCAGAATCATCCCATGTTTCCATAAGACCTTTGTTCTTTCCTTTGAAAGTGCTTTTCTTGAAGCTTTCTTTTCTAGGCTCTCCTTCTTGAGAACTAGACATTCATTTATGAAGTGTCCATGCTTATTGGACTCAAAACATATTATTTCACCATCAACTCTTCCTTTATCATATGCTTCTGGATTATCTCCTTTGTTTCTGAGTCTTCAACCATTATTTTGCCTTTTCTTCCAGATTTTCTTAACTCTTTTGGATAAAAGTGACAATTTGTCTTCATCATCAGAATATTCATCATCAGATTGTTTGATTTCTTCATGTTTGGACGCCTTGTTCTTTTTTGACTTAGATATTTCTATTCTAGACCTTAGAGCAATAGATTTTCCTCTTTTCTGAGGATCATCTTCTTCTAGCTCTATCTCATGACTTCTAAGTTAGATGACTAACTCTTCAAGAGTTATATTGTTCAGATCCTTAGAAAGCTTTAAAGCAGTAACCATAAGTCTCCATCTTTTAGGAAGACTTCTGATGATTTTCTTGATATGATCAGCAGTAGAATATCCTTTGTCCAGAACCTTAAGTCCTGCTACCAAAGTTTGAAACCTTGAGAACATAGCTTCAATTGTTTCTTCATCTTCCATTATGAAGGCTTCATATTTCTGAATTAAGGCAAGGCCTTAGTTTCTTTAACTTATGAATTGCCTCTGCATGTCATTCTGAGTGAATCAAGAATATCCTTTGTTGTTTCTCTATTTGTGATCTTTTCATATTCATTGTACGAGATTGTGCTAAGAAGGATAGTTCTGGCTTTGTGATGATTCTTGAAGTTGCGCTTATGATATTCATTCATTTTGTTCATGGGAATAGGAATACCAATTGCACTGACAGGTTCTTTATAACCATTTGTAACCATTTCCCAGAGGTCAATATCATAGCCTAGAAAGAAACTTTCTATTCTATCTCTCCAATAGTCAAATTTATCTCCATCAAAAATTGGAGGTTTAGCATTGTATTTATCATTATCGTTTGTGTTAGAAGCAACCATTTAGAAGGTTTTTCTCACACAGATATCTCTACACAATTAAGTGTTTTATTAGAAAATCAATAGCAGAGATGGATCTCCTGATGCCAATTGAAGGTTGGAAAAAAAACAAGAAATGGGGGGGTTTGAATTGGGTTTTCAAAAAAGTTTGTTTAGAAGTGCTTCACACAAACAATCAGAATTATAATCAATGTTATAGAGAGAAATAATGACACTTTCGATTTATACATGTTCGCCTTAGAAAAGGTTAATTCTATCCACCCTCTAAGGTGATTTTGCCTTAGAAAAGGACTTAATCCACTATAAACAAACTCATTAAAATTACACATGTTACCCGTCGGTGACTAACAAATGCACGGGCTATCCACCAGTGACTAACAAAAATAATGATAACCTGTTAGTGATCCCTTAAGAACTCTGACATACCCGGTCCTCTAAGAAATGTAACGATCACTAAATTCCTAAGGCTTCTGACCTACCCGGTCCCTTGAAGGAGATTTCTTTATGCCTTAGAAATGTACTTAATCAACTTAAAGTTAAATGGTGTGTTTATAGGTTGCTTCTTATAAGCAGATTACAAAAATGTTTAAGTATAAATTGTTTAACATAAATATGAGCAATAACTCTTGTTTTTAAACAAATTACAATAGTAACACAATAATGAGCAACAACTCTTGTGTTCTACCAAATTAAAATATTAACACAATAATGTGCAACAACTCTTGTATTCTAGTAAATAGTAATATCAACACAAATATGAGCAACAACTCTTGTGTTTTGATTAGTTTATTTTCCTTGCTTTTATTTTGGTAGCATTACTGTTCTTGTGTTCAAGTTTTTCAATTTTCAAATGAAATAGTTGATCCTTTATATAGGTGTTGAGGAAGTAGATCGTTATAGTAGTACACACATCTCTTTCATCTTATCAGCTGCCAACGGTAATAAATGATTACGGGAGACAAATATTACACAGTACATCCATTTGAGTGGAAAGTGTAATTGTACCTTTGTATTATCTCTTCTAGCTCATGTTTCTGATGATACTGTCTTCTGATGGATATTACTTCTGATGAGTAGGTTATCTTGAGAAGATATCATCTTTTGATCTTGTTTGCTGATGGACTATATGATGAATAAAAATGAGTCCAGAAATATAAATCTCCTTTGATCTGTATTCTGATGGACTTTGTGATGTAGAGAAATGATGAGTCTGAAAGATATACTTTCCTTTGATCTTGTCTTCTGATTGGACTATATGATGTAGAACAGTAATGAGTCCAGAAGATCTAACTTTCCTTGATCTGTCTTCAGATGGAAAACTTCTAATGTAAAGTAATGTGCGTATATTCCATGAAGTAATTATGTCTTCAAAATCTTGACTTTGTCTTCAGAGTTAGAAGCAGCAGCTTTTCTGAATAACAAATCTTGACTTCTGATTCAGAAGTAGAAGCTTTCCTTTGATGTGTTCAGAACCTTAACTTTCTCTTCAGAGTTAGAAGCAACAGCTCCTCTGACGAACAAATCTTGGCTTCTGATCTTTGACGTGAAAGCTTGTTTCTAGTGCAACCTTATTTTCTGATCTTGGAGAAGCAGCTCTAACAGACATTCTTTCTTTTTTAATATTTGTGACTTCTGAAGCAGCGGCTTATTGAGAAGTACACGTTAGGATTCTTTTTATTCCGAACATTCAACATTCTTCAGAACTATTGATGTTTCTTCAGAAGAGGATGCTATAGTCTTTCTGATACGTGTTTGGTGTATTTATGATGATTCTTCGGACAACATTCCTAAATCCATTAGAACTTATAATCTGCACAATCAAGAAACTATTAGAAACAAAATTGTTAAAATATAAAATATATGTAATGTTATCATCAAAATCCATAGATTAATTGCAAAATCGAAATTTCATTCTAACAAGAACAACAACAAATTGATTAAAAATTTCAAGGAAAACTTCTATTATAATCAATTTGCATAATCAAGAGTGTAATAAATTGCTAGAATCCGCGGTATTATCAAAAATCTAGAAAGAAAAGTGGGGGCTTAATAGAGCTTGCATCTAAGGCGAAGGAGTGAGATGAATCTCTTTCTTTTCGTCTCATTAAGTGGCCTTGAGCCTGAATTCTGGAACAAGAGATAGTCAGATTGTCTCTTCTCTTCTAAGGTGTGGGCTTGCAAGAATTAAGTAGTAAGAAGTCCTCGAATCGGGAAATGAGCTAGCCTTAAAGGAAATATTTTTATAACCTGAAGTCTCTTTCATGAGCTCAGCTTTAGTGCCACGTTCAAGCTCAAAGCAGGGAAAGGCGGGTATGAACTCATACTAGTTATCCTGGATTGGCACCTCTTCTCGGAAAGATTCCACTCGATCTAACTCAAAAAATGAATCTTTCACTGGATAAGGAAGAGTAAGGTTAGCAAGTCCTCAAGCAGCTTCTAGCACCTAAGAAAATCGTTTCGAGTAACCTAACTTCCAAGCATGCATGAGATTCTATCTTATATATAAAATGCACTTAAGCTATAATAATAAGATAATCAGTATCATTCTATTTCCAGCTAAGAAAGCATGTTGAATGATCTAGCTTCCCAAACGAGCTCACAAGCGAGTGGAACAGAGTAAACAAGAAATAGAGCATAGAAGTGGAATATCTTCTATTTACGTGTTGGTGATTGAGCTGGAGATAAAGTCTCTTCCTCTCCTTTACTTACAGTCGAGCTCTATTAACATAGACCCTATAGCTTAACTCGAGTAACTACGTGCCTTTAGCTCTAGTTCAGTTACACTTATTAACACGAAGGCTAGTGCTAGTTGAGATCAGGGACGGACTCTAACTGCCCCGCTGGCCGGAGGGAAAAATAACTCCATAGATTGAGTAAATTTACACAAACAGAAGGAATATTGGCCTATTGATCTTGACCAGCCTCGACAGGTTCCACAGCATTTGTAATTAATTTCAGTTGCAGAAGTATGGTAGAAGTTTGTGCAACTGCAGGCTCGGCTTAGTAGGTAGCAGTCCCCTAGGTCAGACTTTGAGTTTTCTTTATTTCCATCTTAGAGGTACGTAGTTCTCGACTGTAAAGGAGAGGATGGAAGACTTAGCAACTTAGCAATTACGTAAGCTTTTGAATTACAAGTAATTCTTACGGCTTTGGAATACCTTATAGTTGCAAGCAAGAGCAGAGCGAAGGTTCGGAGATCTCGAGCTAAGCCAGGAAACAGAAAGTCTTATTATTAGCCTTACCATTACAGTGAGCGAAGAAAGTTACCTAGACTAATAAGGCGAGACTTAGGGACCTAGCTAGATTCACTAGCACCGTCTACTCTCACAGCGGATAGGGATTTCGTTCCCTTTCTAACTGTAAGAGCTACTACGGATATAAGTCCCACAGATCCCCCTTCTCGAGCTTATTCTTTTTAAGAGACTGGTGCCAACTATGAATATATGATCGAATGCGCTCTTGTCTATTTTTAGACTTCTGACTTTTTTTTTGCCTTTGATCTTTTAAGCCTTCCCCAACGGAACAAATGTTGTTGCTCCTTCTGTTCATAGTTCGCATGACTTCGCTCTCGTTGTGCGTGGACTTCCTAATCGAACTAAGATGGATCGGGCTGTTGGCTCAGAGAAGGTTTTATCGGGGAAGGAATAAGAAAAAGCTTTGTTGACTGAAGAATAAAGAATTTATTTTCCATGGGAGGGGAAGCTAACTTAACTTCAACTGAAAGGTGGGGCTGTGAACTAAAACCAGGTATCTGGAACTGGAATGGTGTTCAAACAGATATTCCACATAAATAGAATCCGGAGAAGGAGAATCAGACATGGGATACCAATATGGGAGGGCATATAAGTATATTACTTTGGGGATCCCTCTGAAAAAGTAGCTGCAAGACCGAACGAAGCAGATGCTGAGACAAGTAGCAGAGTTTAGTCCTTTTCTGAGTCTTTGGAGTTTGGGCACGAGAGTAACTCGACTTCAAGGCCAAGGTCCGAAGATGTTGTCAATCTTGATTATGGAAAGGTAGGACACATAAGCCTAACCCCGAGCTGAGCTAGAGTTTTTTCTTTTTATTTTTAGGTATAGTTCAGTAGCAGGAGGGGTAGGAGTCATTCCCTAGAGCTCAAGTGAGGAAGGGGAAATGAGACAAAGGCTAACTAAGGACGAAGTACGGAAGATTCTTACTCCCAGGTGAAGGTTCTAGAATAAGGATAAGGAAGTCCACCGGGATTGGCTTAAAGCTAAGCCAGGTGCTATAGGTGAGGAAGGTTTTAGAAAGCTAGAGTCCGGAAGTGAAAGATGAGCCAACACTGCCCTACGTTCTACCCTTCCAGCAACTAGTGAATAAGCATACCCAGGTTCTAGAAGTAAGAATAGTAGTCAGTTTACTTGAAAAGTAATTCCCCTGTTGAGGCTAGAACGATTCTATCAGTACTAACGGATGCTCCTTTACTAACTCAACCTAACGGATTCGGCATCATTACTATACAATCTTTTTCCTTGAAAAAAGTACAGTATATTATTATTATTCTACTAGAAGTACTCGATTCTGCGTTATACTAACTACTCTATATATCAGTACGTTCGAAGAATCGAATATTTTTCTACTGGTTCAGCAAGCTAGCCGAACTATCAAACAAACAAAAATCACAATAATAAGGATCGAAGGGCTATTCTCCTAACAGTAAGTACTAGGACTAAGACATTCCCGGAGGTTCCTACAATTGAGAAAAAGTCTCCATACGAGCAGTCTTGATGCCATCATATCCTTCCTACAAACTACATATGTATAGTGGGAGCCTCCTACGAACCAGTTGCAGTTGTTTTGCCATTCGCTGGGGTTGAAGTTTCTTATCAGCCGGAGATCCTAGTTTCTTTTTCTTCTCCTATAGAATTTACTTACTTACTTTATACTTTAGAGTAAGACTTTCTTCCCAGTTATAAAAATAATCTCACTATCAATCAGCTTGAAAGACATCAGAATCAAAGGCAAGCCCATCTAAGATAGTTTGAGTGTTTGCTTAATCTGATACTTCCTGAGCTTTTCTTTTGTCTGTGCGGAGTCCTTAGTGCTTCATTTCTTCGGTCCTGAGCAAATTTAAGCTAGAAAAGCGTAGCTCTCATGATTTATTCGGACCATTGCTCTATTTTTTAGTCGTATCAGCTTTGATTTGACTTTCCTTGTCCGTCGAGTCAGTAGTCGATCTAGTAAGATTCTTGTATGATAAGTAGCCCATTCTCTTAGGCTTCCCTTCAGGCCTAGTAGTAATTCTTCTTTCTACTCCATCAAGATCTAGTAAGATTCTTGTATGATAAGTAGCCCATTCTCTTAGGCTTCTCTTAGAATGTGTGTAAATTAAAACGTTAGCTAACTTAATAAAAAGACAAAAATAACTTAATCTCAACACTTATGCACATATGCACCTCTAGGGTATCCCCGCTACGGTTGCCTTTCGGAAAAAAACAGTCATGTCCCTCGAGAATGGGGACGCTTTAGCAAAGACCCACAAAAATAAAAAAGATCATAGTCTCTCAATGACCCTACGGTGTTGCCTTTCGGTAAATGATCTCGTCCCTTAAACGAAATCGCTAAAGCGTCTCCATATGTTGCCTTTATGACTGTGAAGTGTCCCTTCGATTGTCCCTCAACATCCAACGATAAGGTTACCTACTCACTAATAGTAGGATAGAATTATCTAAAGGAAAAGAGGAAAAGAACGACCCTTTTAGAGTAATAAAGTAGATAGATATTAGAAGTTTGCTCAAACATTTTGCACTTACATAAAAAACTACTTTTCAAAAACAATTTCAAAACACTTTGTATACTTTCTCTACTATCCCGAGAAACATTACAAAGTTCGTCGTACTAAGGCATTTTCAAAACATTTTCAAACACACAAAGCACAAGGGTATTTTAAAAATGAGCAAACCTCTATGAGCCCGTGGAAAACCATGGATGGAAAGGGTTCTAACACCTTCTCTTTCCATAATCTACCCCCCTTACTCAGAAAACATATCGAAAAGGTATTTTCTGTTCTTTTCACTCTTTCCTTTGTTGGATAAAAGAAAAGATGGTGGCGACTCTTGTTTACCGCACATTTGTGAATACAAAATGCAAAACCAGTATTAAACAGTCGGTTCTGCCACCGTATCATAGAACTGGTGACTCTGTTGGGGATATAAAAAGTAGGATTACCTTAGAGTTTTAGTTCATCATTTTAAATGCTTTATTGTGTGTTTGCTTTCTTTACTTTTGATGGTTTGTTTGGGTTGTTACTAAAAGATCCTACACCCGGATATGGGGCACCTTATTAGGTAAGTAGAAATAAACCATGGAGGTTGTACATCGTAGACCGATACGGATGAAGTGGTGGCTACGTTAGCGTGATACTCTGGATTGTACTAATGTTCCTTGAGTAAGTTAAGGATAACATTAGGCTTCCTCATAGTGTCACTAAGAGCTAACTGACCTTTGAACCTTTAATTGACTCATCCTAGCCATTAGGAAGTAGTGAGATAACCGGCTTTGGTTCCGACCGAAGATTGGTTGATACTCGATACTACACTCATTGAGGCTGGACTTTCGAGATTTTTTGTCCGCAATACTTCGGTGTGGAGCTGAAACAATTTCTGAAGGGAAGGTCAGTGATATTGAGGCTCCTTAGAACCCGGTTACTATTAATAGGACAGGTTGAGCTAACTGAACATTCAAGAGGGTACTTACCTTAAAAACCTCATGCAAGCCTTTGAACCTAAGGTCTTTTGTGTGATTTTCTTGTGTTTATCTATGATTTTAAGCATGATAATGATATCATAAACATCATAACATTCATATATACTAATCATTTGAAGGACCTATTGGATTTACCTCTTTGTTGTTTTGTAGGATATGAATTCAGGTCGCAAAAAAACCATCTGGATTCACTTCACAAAAGTTCCTCCCAAGCTCAAGGAATTAGTCTTGAAAGTCCCCTAGGACTCATCATTCCATAAAATACATGGTCACTTACTCAGTTTGGTTACCACCGGATTTGACGAAGGTTTGATGAGTGTCTTATTTCAGTTCTTCGATCCTAAGCACCATTGCTTCATATTCCCCGATTATCAACTGGTGCCTACCCTAGAGGAATTTTCTAAGTTACTTAGTTTACCTATATTGGAGCAAGTACCTTTCACTGGTTTAGAACAAGACCCAGCTTTTGAAGATGTTGTTGTAGCTTTGCACTTGAAGCCATCTGACATTGAGTCCAATTGGGAAAAAATAAGTGAAGTTAAGGGTCTCTTTGCAAATTTCTTGATGAAGAAAGCTCAGATTTTCCTGGATGCTATGAGTTATCATGCCTTCGAAGATGTATTAGCCCTCTTGATCCATGGGTTGGTCATGTTTCCTAATTCATATCAACTTATACATGTGAATGCCATCAACATCTTTCTTGCTCACAATCTGGTTCCTACATTGCACGGAGATATCCTACATTCTCTCTATACTCGTACTCTGAAGAAGCTAGGAACTCTCATGTGTTGCACCCCTCTGCTATATAGGTGGTTTATTTCGCACCTTCCTCGGTCAACAATGCAGAATGATTTAGGCTTAAGGTGGAGTCAAAGACTAATGTCTCTCCCTCACTCCGACATCCATTAGTGTCCTCGCTCTCAAGAAGACATCTCTTTTATTGATCGTTGTGGAGAATTTCCTAATGTGCCACTCCTGGGCATTAGGAGAGGCATCACCTACAATCCTTCTTTAGAACTATGTCATTTTGGCTATGCACGGAGAGATGGTCCACCGGATATGCTCATCCAGGGTATTATGTTCAACTACTCGGATGATTCGCAAAATTATCGTTAGAGCTTCATCCGTGCTTGGGGCATTGTTAAGAAGACTGATAGTGGGACTTTGGGGTGCAAGAACTCCATCCCTTTGGAACCTTACCTCAAATGGGTGTGAGCTCGAGCCCAAAGTCTTATGATGCCATACGATGCCAGCTTACCGGTGATCTTGGAACCTATTATTCAAGGGGGCGATACCCGCGTTATTCTCCATCCTGATATGCCAACCAACTTCGAAGAGTTGCAAAAGTCTTGGATCCAGCTCAAGGGAGAACGGGATACTTTTGAGGATCAATTATATGAAAGTGAGAAGAAGGTGCTGGAATTAACAAAACAACTTCATGAAGAGAGGAACCTCAACACCTACCTCAACACCAAGAGGAAGCACACATGGGAGACTTAGGAATTTCCTTTCAATGTTTATCTTTTTGTAATCTTTTGTTTCTTTAAAAACATGCTAATAAAAGGTTTTGTTTCTTGTTTTGTTTAAAAGATCTTAAATCCAATAAGGTACTTGAAAACATTGCATAAGCATATCGTGCATCTCATTGCATAAGCAGGTCTCAAAGCAGGGTTCTTATCTTCTTCGCTGTTAATTTCAGCAAGTAAAGAAATGGCTCTTGAATAAAACATCAAGAATCTCCAGGCGCAAAACGCCCAGTTCTAGCAAATGATTGTGGCTCTAGCTAAAGGGAAAGAAGATTTGAAAGTTGTTGTACCCCAAAATTTTCCCTCTCATTTATCAAATATTTTCTCATAAGATCTCCTTTGGTTCAAGACTGCACAAGGATTGATCAGCTCAAGACACCTCCTTAACACTGATGACTGAAATTAGGGTTTGAGATTGCGTAAGGATAATTGAACTTTCAATGCCTCATATGACTTTCATGGATCATTATGGACCCCCAAGATTACTCATGTCAAGTTTCAAGCCTTGGATCACATTTTTGCTCAGCCAATTGAGCAGTTGACCTAAAAATCAGTTGTAATGGGGAAAAAGTCAACTATGACCAATTTAAAGTCAAACTTCATAATTTTTTATCCATATCAACATTATGAACTCATATGTATCATTTGATCAATTTTGGACCATAATTCCTCAAGAAATTTGATCAAATCATCAAAAGGGCAAAATGGTCAAAATTAGGGTTTTGACTGAGAAAGGGCAATTTCTGATTTTTGACCTAGCAAATGGCTAATTAGTTTGAGGCATGATCTCAATATTTCAATTGCATCATTTTGACCTAATGGCATCACTCAAAACATTTCTCAAGATCAATTGGATTGATAGTTGATTTTCAGTCAACTGATCAAAAGTCAATTATATACTGAAAAGTCAAACTTTGACTTTTTGGTCAAAATCAAGTGTCAAAAATCACAATTCATCAAAACATGTCAAAATATGAAACTTTTTCATCAAGAAATCAAAAAGTCAAGATTTCATTTTGAAAAGTCAAAGTTTTCAAACTTAGA